GTTTGAGTATTGCGGATCTGGTAATGAGTGTTTGGTTTGCCCCAACTCGCTTCTATTTCGCGGCCCTTTGGATCATACCTGATTTATGAATAGAAAATGAATAAGCAATCGGCTCAAATACATATCACACACATACTTTTTCCATTTGATCTCATAAAATAATATCTTCAGAAATAAATATATAAATACTATTTACCATATTAATTTGGGCGTAGGAAAAGCCTTAATTTTAATATTCCACTGGATGTATGGGTCACCAACTTTTGCTTCGATCTGTTTCCTCCCAGTCGGTTCTGTCAAATTTATAAATGACGTGTTTGGTTTGAATACTGTAATAAACCTAAAAAAACACATAGAAACATATTTTTAAACAATTATAACTAATGTAAAATCATAACACTGAATGAAGAAGCTGCAAATTGTTCGATATCATTATAGCCCTAATCGCAATTGACAAATACTTTATTAAAGTTATAAATAATATTAGATAGTATCGAAATAATTAACATTTATCATTCGTGAACTGTTAATTAAGAACTAATGATGTATGGTATTGTGCTTTAAGCCAAATTGCTGTAAATTACTGTTTTATAAAGATAAATATATAAACTCATTAAATAAACAAATTTTAGAATTAGGTCAAATTATGCATAAAAATACATTTTGAAATTTTCGAATAGGTATAGGTTTTGCTGTATTTAATATTTTTCAATCTTTTTCCCTTTATTTATTTTATACAAAAAATCTACGTTGATCTAAGGGAATTTACTTAATTGAAAAAATCTTAGCCATGATTCCCGAGAAAATATATTCACTGATTAGTGTACATAATATTCAATCAAAAACTATGAGGTCTCAGCAATTCGCGTCAAGCTATAGTGCTACAATACACCACTAATTCACAAAAAATAGTTACAATATAAGTTTTTTAAAGAAACTTCACAAACTTTTCAGCGTGATTCATATTCCCAGAGTTGTCGGAAACAGTGCATTTATAATAGCCTTCATCGTACGTAGTTACATTAGAAACTGTCAAAGTTGATTCTCCATGAAGAACATTGTTGATTTTATGTTGTTTAGTCTCGGATTGTGTTGTCCTCTCAGTCTAAAATATATTAACACTGTTTTGTTAATATAATTTTAGTTAATTAAATATTACTTTTCAAATAACAGGATATTTAAAACAACGAGGCTTTTAGTTTAGTCTAGCTGAACAACTATTAAAATTCCAAGTAAAAGATGATTAAAAAGAAGTTAGGGAAAATTGATTAGTAGATCATTAGTAGTGGAGTGACTGACTATCATTAGTGAGAACGTGTGTTTTATCATAGTAACATAGGAGGATACTGCTTATTCTGATTGCTGTTTATTTTTACAAGAATAAAAAATAGTAATAAATATGATACTCATATGGACAAGAATACTAAAATAATGTACTCACAGTTGTTATGTTGGGAGTAGTCCAAGTTAATTTAAATAAAACACCAAGCACTGTGAGGTTAACCCGACATTGGAGAACCAGGCTTGTTCCTTCTATAGCATGCCCCGAATTGGACCCTTCTTGGGTCACCACTGGTTTGGCCACTGATTCTGTACGTGCTAGAGTTTAACGTGTAAATTATTATATGATTATCTTCAATTATTAATATTGTAATATAATTACAATATTTATACACATATATGTAAGCAAATATATACAACAAACACATTTATTAGGACTACATAAATGCTGTGAATAATATAGCTTGATTAATAGCGTACATGGAAATGCAATGAATCTAACTGCGATTTTAGTAAAAGTATAAAAGTCTTTTAACATTTTCCAGAAGAAATGAAATAGTCGTTGATGGTCAATTTTCATAAGCACTACAAAAATATATATAGGCATACAATTTAAAAAAAGCTCTAGAAATCATAATATTTTATATACATATATTTATTTTGGGTATAGATTCAAGTTTTTAACAGAAGACTCAATTTTTGATGTTTTTTATAATTATTATTGAGTTCAATAATAAGAATCAATTCAAGTGTCGCATATCAAATTCGTTCAAATCCAATCAGTCAATCTTAAAATTTGTTTTGTTAGGTAATATCAGTTAATAGTCAATGATTTAATTTATAAATGAATTATTAAATAATTTAAAGACTGTTTTAATCCGATCTTCTAAACTTTTTACGGCTCTAATTGACAGTAAAAAGCAAATCATCTTAAGCATTTAACTAAATGGCTACACATTGAGGAATGTTACGACGCTAACACGGATAAGGAGGGTACTTCAGAAAACAGAAGTAGAGCTTATGACCTTATATAGAATAGTAAAACATCGAAAACAAACTTTAGAGGCAGTTATGGTTAGTGAATAGTAACATAGTTAATGGAGAGTAGATGTCAGTACACAGATACAATAATGAGCCTACTCTTGTTTTTATAATGTATCAGCAATTATTTTGAACCTAGTGTGGCCTTATGGTAAGTTGTATAACCGAGAATAGGCCCATGAAAGTTAGTTGGTACAGTGCAAGAGTTGGATTGAGAGCCGATCCCCAGAGTTCAGTTGCTAGCCCAAACCAAAATAAAATATATAGCTATAATTACATTTAGTAATAAAAATTAGAAATAATTACATTTAGTAGTGAAAATTAGAAATAATTACAATTAGTAGTAAAAATTAGAAATAACTACATTTAGGAGTAGTGAAGTAGGTTCCAATACCCTGCGATAAAAATATGATATAAGATGATTTAAGATGAAAAGTTGACTATATTATTATTTATATCTATAGAGAATATATTTAAAAAGTATATCGAGGACATCAGATTTTAAAATGCAACATAGTGTGATGTATGATGAATAACAGATTTATGTTTGTCATTGAAAATATGGACAGTGCGTTTGCAGAATTTATTAGAGAATGTATATTATTGGTGATAATTTAAAAAACAATTAGGATGTATTATCCATATAAACGTGATGAGCAATGTCAACAAGAATTCTTGTTCACTTGAATTTTCATTCCGATATTCGTTCAAATCTTTTATTTATACATATTTTTATAAAAAGCATGATAACGCTCTACAGATCCATAAGTCTTTATAAGATCACAATTGAACCTTTATTGACTTATGGAAATCAATTTTGAGTATGCTATCTTATATATAAAAATGAATCGCAAAATGTGTTGGCGCATAAATATAAATATAAATATAAATATAAATATAAATATAAATATAAATATAAATATAAATATAAATATAAATATAAATATAAATATAAATATAAATATAAGCGCATAACTCAACAACGCCTGGACCAATTTGGCAAATTCTTTTTTTAAAATGTTCGTTGAAGTCCAAGGATGGTTCTTACGGCGAGAAAAAATCGAATAATTGCCGGGAAAACCCTAAAAACAGCGCTTTTCTTTTCCACATAGAAACGTTTTCTAACTGAAACGTAGAATCACTTAACGTTTCATATAGCATTTTATTCGTAATTTTAATCTGCATCTTTCGTCCGAACAAAGTTTTTTCGTATCTTTTACGGTTTGGATTGTATAGGAGAAATTTATGTGAATTCGATAGTTCACAGTTCACGCCATTCGATATTTCTCTAAAGAAAACATACAGTATTATACATCGTTAGAAAGGTCTCAAAATTCTTAGATCTTTTCCTATATATCGCAACTTCGAATTCCTAACGGTGTGGCCTACAGGCGAGTTGCAGTAGTAAAATTCAAGAAAAACTGGAAAATCTCGAGAAAATCATATGAACATACTTAATAGAATCTTTTCGTTTCTATTACGGTTTAGCCTGTAATATGGAATTTGTGTGAATATTCAATTGTTCAAATGCAAAGTACGGTTAGGTTTGAGCAATAAGTCACACTGTTCGATATTTATCTAAAAAACCCATATAAATTCACAAGGGCAGGCAGTCACAAGGGCAGGCAGTGGACTTATTTTATTTATATATTTACTTATTTATTTATTTATTCATTTATTATACGCCAATCATCGCCTAATATACTATTAACTATATGTGACTTACTCGAGAGTGAGAAGTACAAACAATTTATTTATTTATACACCTACAGGTCAGACAAAGAATATTGGATATCCCGTTAATTGATATATTAAAAATAAATTTGTTCTAAAAAATGTCGTATAATATTACTTATATACAATCTTAATGAACATATTTCGATATTTGTATGTTTATTAACTAATTTTAACATATGTTATATGTTGTGATGTAGCTGATTTGGTTTTTACTGTATAAGTGAAATTTAAGTGTAGAAATTTTACATACATTTCTGTATAGACTGTAGAGTAAAAACATTAATGATTATTTTAAACTAAACGGTAAATACCAGTATAGGTTTTTAAAAAAAATTGAAGTTTTTAGGCATGGGTACAGGACAACGTCTGTTGGGTCAGCTAGTAGTAAATAAAATCAACGCTTACAATCCAAAACTTTATGGTCGATTACTGACGACCCTGGTGTTTGTTAGTAACAAAATAGTCATTTTTAGGAGGCGCGGAGGGAACTAATGCGAACTGTTATGAACAAAAACCGTCTGAGGGCTTTCGCAATTTCAGGTCCGCACAGTATGAAAATCGTGTTCCCATAGTAACGAGTTATGGGAGGTTTGACTGCATATATATATATATATATATATATATATATATATATATATATACGAGTGCACAAGTTCAATACGCGTATGTATAAATGTTTAAACTTAACGTCAGTGCTAGGAGATAAGAAACATCATTTCTGCTCTTCACTGTATACGCCAGAAATGTGTATAATTTCAGCCCACAACGTAAATTTGAAATATAAATTGTTTACAATCATGCTTCAGTAACAGATTAATTAAATACACATACTATAGCACATAAAACACAATGAAGCTGGTGATGTATATATAAGTTCATAATTTTACACTAAAACAATAAATCATTCGAAATGATTAGCAAATTAGGAATACAGCAATTGCAACCAACACCCAAAAGATATACAATGTATTTATTTCGAAGATTTATTCAACTCACAATTCACGAACAAGTTAATGATTGTTGATTCGTTATAATCTGTTTTCTTGTTTTGAAATATGCATTCATACATTCCGGAGTCGGTTATATCATTTGCATAAAAGGAAATTCCAGTTTTAGGATCAAATGTTCCATCGATCTGAAACAGTTCAAAAATTATATTTATGAAGCTCCGATATTATAATTCAGCGATCTGGATACAAACTGCTTCGATCATCTGAAATTCACTTCAACTAACATTAGATTTGGATTGGTTGCATACCGGATAAGCAAAATGGCATTAGCATGCTGTGTGTAAAATGAATTTTTCATTTATTTATCACTACAATTGTTCGCAAGATAAGGCTACTTATTATTTATGTAAAATATACTTTTTAGATTGTTATTAAAAATTAAATATACTTCTTAGAGCATCATTGGAAAAAACATAAGAATAAAATCAAATACATTACATGAAGATAAAATAAAATGTAACTAATATCGATTTTGATTCTTGATTCAAAATATTAATAATTTTTAAATATCAGAATATACTTCTTATGCTTTTCCAATGTATATGATGGATATTTTTCATGCTAATGCTATGATAGTGACACCTACGATTAACCATCAAGAATATCGTTTGGTTTTGTTGAGAATCGTTCCATTGGAAACTGCATGCAAGTGGCGAACTGCTATCATCGATGTCCACTCCATGAATAACGAATCCATATCGCGCATTGAATGACACACTATTTGTTATTGACATCTATATTTATAAATAAATGGTACACATGATAATAAATATTGTTTTCGATCTCAAAAGATTAAAAAACAAATAAATGATATAGTTTCTAATTCATAATACTGTTAAATATTTGAAAATAGAATTGCACATATTTTACATGAATGCTGCATTAAGATTTTGTGTTGATAAAAAAGTACGTGATAATTATACCCTGATCGAGTTTCGGCCTAATATTTAGATAATTCTACATATATTGCTGTGTATGCAATCTCATAACATCATAGCATTTTGATCAAAATTCACGTTGAAGATCGTAGAGCTACAGAAATTTACTTTAACCCTCCGTCGGTCGGCGTGGTCTGGCCAGACTTTTTTCGACTTCAATTAAAAAAAAATACTTCTAGTAATCCTATCGACTTGAAATTTCTTGACTTTTCCTAAAATTTCATTAGCTGTCGATCAATGAAAAAATCGGGACAAAAAAATGTACAGAAGGATAATTATAAGGATATTAACTTTTTTATACTTCGAACGGTCGGAAAGGTCTGTCTAGACCAGGCATCGGCAACCTACGGCACGCGTGCCAGGCTTGGCACGCGACGGCGTTCTGCATGGCACTCTACAAAATAATCAGGGCAATCGCAAATATATCGAGACGAAGTGATTTTTAAATAAGCAAAAATGTTGAAATATAATTACTTATCTAATGTAGCTCGCTAATGTAATTCAATCTACATTGAAGCACTTAAAGATGAATTTTCCAGATGCAAAGACTTTAAAGCTTATGTGCCTAAATTTTCCTTCCTCATAAAACCACATTTCATAGATCCATCAATAATACCGTTTGATTTTTCAATTTTTGAGTGGATGAATGTTGATGATTTTGAAATGGAAATTATGGAACTAATATCTTTAGAATTATGGAAAACAAAATTTAAGGAATTACGAAAAAATCAGGAAGACGACTCCATGGAAAATTAAATTGTTGGATGACATTGTCGGAAATATTTAATTGTTTAAAGAAAATTGCATGCGTTATCCTTTCACCTTTTGATTCCACATATCAATTTTACACCCATTGTAGTATTTTTACACCCATTGTAGTATTGTTTACAAACATTGTAGTAATTTTACACCCATGGCAGTATTTTTACAAAAATTGTAGTAATTTTACACCCATTGTAGTATTTTTACAAAAATTGTAGTAATTTTACACCCATTGTAGTATTGTTTACAAACATTGTAGTAATTTTACACCCATTGTAGTATTGTTACACCCATTGTAATATTGTTTACAAAGATTGTAGTAATTTTACTCCCATTGTAGTAATTTTACACCCATTGTGATATTGTTTACAAACATTGTAGTAATTTTACTCCCATTGTAGTAATTTTACTCCCATTGTAGTAATTTTACACCCATTGTAGTATTTTTACACCCATTGTAGTAATTTTACACCCATTGTAGTATTGTTTACAAACATTGTAGTAATTTTACACCCATTGTAGTAATTTTACACCCATTGTAGTATTGTTTACAAACATTGTAGTAATTCTACTCCCATTGTAGTATTTTTACAAACATTGTAGTAATTTTACACTCATTGTAGTATTTTTACACCCATTGTAGTAATTTTACACCCATTGTAGTATTGTTTACAAACATTGTAGTAATTTTACTCCCATTGTAGTATTTTTGCAAATATTGTAGTAATTTTACACCCATTGTAGTATTTTTACACCCATTGTAGTAATTTTGTTTACAAACATTGTAGTAATTTTACTCCCATTGTAGTAATTTTACTCCCATTGTAGTAATTTTACACCCATTGTAGTATTTTTACACCCATTGTAGTAATTTTATACCCATTGTAGTATTGTTTACAAACATTGTAGTAATTTTACACCCATTGTAGTATTTTTACACCCATTGTAGTAATTTTACACCCATTGTAGTATTGTTTACAAACATTGTAGTAATTTTACTCCCATTGTAGTATTTTTACAAAAATTGTAGTAATTTTACACCCATTGTAGTATTTTTAGACCCATTGTAGTAATTTTACACCCATTGTAGTATTGTTTACAAACATTGTAGTAATTTTACTCCCATTGTAGTATTTTTGCAAACATTGTAGTAATTTTACACCCATTGTAGTATTTTTACACCCGTTGTAGTATTGTTTACAAACATTGTAGTAATTTTACACCCATTGTAGTATTTTTATAAACATTGTAGTATTTTTACACCCATTGGACTTATGTACATCAAATTATCAGATATTTTATAGAGATTTTAATACTGTGTACATATTTTGTGTAATTTTTTTGGGTTCAGTACCATGATTTTTAATTTCAGTATGGGAAGTTCTAGCAATTTGAATTAAGGCACGATGCCATGCACCCCACTAGTTAATAAAAATGTTTAAAAGATAAATTTGGTTATAATTCTTCTCCCCCAGAACCTGGTTATATATTTCAGAATTCAGGCGGCACCCTGAATCATATTGGTAGAGTGGCTCGGCACACCACAGTTAAAAGCTTGCCGACCCCTGGTCTAGACCACCCATATATTTTGTATGAAATATACGCTTTTTTATATATGTAAACCAGTATTTTGTCTTTTTTCACGGTATTTTCTATTCAAACTGCGTTGTATATATTATTTGCTATGTATTGTAACATGAATGTTAGTATTTTCATGACGAGAGTTTCTTGAAAACCTACCAATCTTATTGGTAATCTCAAATACTGAAAATCGGATGAGTAGTGCACACATTATCAACAACTTTTCTTCCAGTACTGCGTTCGAAATTGTTTTTTGGCAAACCTGTAGTGAAATTATATTTTCACTTTGAGTTTTACAGCTCATTTCAAAGGCGACGCACCTCATTTCTTTTTCATTTGAATTTCACATTCATTTCAAAGGCGCCGAAAAAAAATAAATATTGTTTTTCATTGATATAAAACAGAAAAATTAACAAAAAAGCGACGATTTTTTTATATTTCTTGATTTTTTTTCATATAATATAATATGAAATATTTTTATTATCAGCAAGCTCAACACATGCAAAAGACGGTAAGAAATAAAAAAATCAAAACTATAAATATTTACTACTAATAATCGTTAACATATAAGATACCAAAAACTCGTTTATCCCATATAAATGCATGTAAAATGAATGGTGGTCCAGCCAGACCTTTCCGACCGTTCGAAGGTGAAAAAATATCCGACCGACGGAGGGTTAATCATTATAGTAAACAAGAAACCTATGTGAAGTTCAATTGGAAAATACAGCATAATGGTGAATATAAAAGATAATCCATGAAAAATTCTGTACACATGAAAAAACATAAAATCATATAATCCGATATTAAATTGACAAAAATGCTTATTGCGCAGGGGAAAACAGCTCTTGTTTTCTGAGTATTGAAGAACTACCCTAATAGTAATTTCGATTACGATTATCGCAGTTTAACAAAAAGCTAAGAGTTGTATATGCTATTTTCGTTATAGCTTTGGATCTGAGACTTGTGCGCATAATCCACAAAAAATATATCGAGTAAAGACAGCTTTTCACAACTACTTTAAAATGCAATTGCGCAATCAAGGTAAGGGAATAGTCGATACAAGTAGCGTAATTGGTCTCAAAAAGAATGTGAGGAGTTGACGGTAGGGTAGGTACAAAAACCGAGGTCCTATAAGTCTCCTGCCACTTCGTTTTAAACTTAGAATTATGAAACAAATTGTAAAGGCTCTTGACAAAGAAAGTGAAGCCTTGCTCCCTTACTCGGTACTAACTACCAAAAAGTTGAGAGCTGGTGTATTTGAACGGCTCTGACGATTTTCGCCAAAAACTATTCCTCAACAGCTCTTGAATTTTTAAAATCGATTTGTCGATTTTGAATAAGATTTTTAATCAAAACGTGAACGAAAAGTTTTACACTTTGCTTCTTCAGGCAAAACTGGTAAATGCTATCCTTATCGAGTTACATCAAATAGCTTTTCAATTTGAAAATATTTTGAAATCGGTTTAGTCGCTTTTCAGAAAATGTCGATGTCGTTCACAAACCATGAGGATTTGAAAATACCTTAAGTAGATTAATTAATAAAAGACAGGAGCAGTACTCATAGATCAAGAATTGAAGATCCAAATAAGTCATTAAGACCACTTCTCAATGTATCAAATATAAAAATAAAATAATCGGTAGCCTTTTAAAACGACGCCCACTTAAGTCTAATTTATACATTTTTTTCATAAATTATTAGTTCTACTTTAATTTTATCATAATAGCATATAAAATTGTATTATTTTAATTGCTATTTATAATACTCATAAACAATATTAAACTATATTGTTTACTAGTAAGTATACTAAATTCTGAATACTTTCTTAATATGTATCTTCAAGTTAAAGATTTAAAAATTTTGTGATTTATATTTAATAATTCAGTTAATTTATAATTAAAAATTTGTCAAATAACAATACATATGCAACAAAATCAAATCCATGTAAAATAGTTTAAAATTTCATACTTAAAAAGATTGATAATTCCAGTATAAATTTTATTGCAGCACGTTGAAATTTAATATAGTTTCTACGGATAAAATGATAATTATGTATTTTCATGTGCACCTGGTTATCACAGCCAAAACACAAATGTTAGCACAAAAAATGTAGCTAATATAGTTTAGTCGGGGAAAGAACATTTAAATAAGATTACAGCGTCATATAAATAATTTCTGAATGTGCATATTTGCCATAAAATAAAAGTTATATACTATAATTAAAGTACAGTTGTATACTAAGAACTCAGTGAGTATGTATATGCCCAGAAAACAACACATATCATTATAGTAATACACCAAGATTTTGAAAATCATATGCAATGCATGCAGAATATTGTCATGACCCATTTTGCCCATAACCGAATAATATAAATATAAATAGTGTAAAAAATAATTTAAACTGAAAGTAATCTTGAATATATTTTAACCACAGTAAATATGATATAGTATTAGTCTATTGATATACATCGCAAAAAACAAAATGTAGAACCTAATGTATGAATATTGAATTAAAAACGATAAATAATGAACGAGAGGTGTAAGGAAACACATAACTTTTAATTGAATTTCAACGTTAAGGATGAGAGTGATGAGACATTGAAGTGCTTTATTTTTTACATTATATTTACATTGTTTTATATATATATATATATATATATATATATATATATATATATTGATTATATGATCGAATAACTAACCTTCTCCTCATCTTTATAGAGCGTTACTTCTACATCAAGAAAGCTAGGTCTGCAGGGGATTGTAACTTCGTCCAGTTGATTAGCTGATATGACGTAATCTAATGGCACATACAAATGTTCTGTGTCTGAAATTAAATAGACACGATCAATAAAATTACATTGCGCAGACATTTAAAAAATATCAACAATTGGAAAATTTGCCATTATTATTGAATTTTAGAAATATAGTTTTTTTTTTAATTTAATGATACGAACTCTAAAAAACCATAACTCATAAGAAATATGAGATCATAAGAAATTTAAATTAGTTGATACAGGATATAAAAGAAAGCATTGCCTTACTAATTGTGATATAGTAGCTATGCCCGCAAGAGGTGATTTTCACCCGAGATTATATATGAGATCTGTAAGTTCAAGTGGAAATTTGATCATGCTGTCTGATAACGAGCTTGACCTAGTTTGAGATTAAACCTGGGACTAGTATGTGCTAGCCCAGGGCTAAGGACCTACACCAAGGCGCACACAAAATATTTTTTAAAATTCAAATATATTTCTATGATAGAGCTAATCTGGTTTATCAAATCCTGGCTAAAAAAATCCCGCCCTGATTTGAATTATCTATATTATGTAAATAGATAAATAAAATAGTTTGATTTCGATTAGAGCGTGGGCTAGCAGCAACTAGTCCCAGGTTCGCTGGTTCGATTCCCGCTACCGCCGTAGCCTGACATCAGGCAGCTTTGATGTCAAATTTCCACTTGGGGTTATAGATCACAATATAATTCCAAGTGGAAATCGTCCTTCGTGGACATAACTGCAACATCCAATCACATGTTAACTATTAGACGTAAGAGATAATATATAATAAATCCACACATAAGATTATGGTAAATCGAGGGATTGCCTCTCATGAAATAAGTAGTCATAAGCCTTAACCAACAGTTAATAAATCATATAGGAGTTCTGATTGCTGTTTAAACAATTACAAAAAAAAATTAAACATGCTTATATATTTTTCAAGCAAATTACCTTTGACATAAATATAAATTGAAGAAGCTGCTCCGATTTCTATTAATTCATCAGCTGCTCCCTCATTATACAAAGGATATGAATCGTTGAAGACACATATGTAAAACCCAACATCGGTATGTGAGACTCTTATTATATTTAATTCGATTCCATAAGGATAGTCTTTGTCCGGAGTGGAATTTGTGGACTTCATATTTATTGTGCTGGTTTCTTCACGAGTGACCTACAATGGTATAGAAAAGTTTTGATCAGGAAAACGTTAATGCAAAATAACGTGTGTAACAAGAATACAAATATTGTCGTCTAATGTAAGATATAGTTGTTAATTGATTGGTGAATAATAAGTTATCTAAATAGAGATTTTTGCATTGCACGTCAATCTGAATCGTTTAAGACCAAAATTGAAAAAACAGGTATACGCGTGTGAGCAAAAATTTAAATTTTCACCTGTAAAACTTACATGACTAGGCAAAGAAGGAATTATCCATTGTACAGGTTTATTGCCCTCGCAATGCAATGTTAAATCTTCATCTGGTTCTAAAGTTAATTCTTCCTCTACTGGATATATCCGAGGAGGATCCCATAGTGCATCTGAAAATGTACATATATGTCATACATGTACTCAATAAAATATGGTGGTGGATGGCATTGTGCCTTAAGGGGAGAGCCTGCTTTAGAGGCTTTAAAAAATTGATATTTTTTGCAAAAATGTCTTTCAAAACTAGCCAAGAATATATGCCTAAAATTTCAAAAACAAATTCAAATTATTTTCGGAATTACAGAAGAAATAGTGAGCAAGCATAAAGCATGTATACGAAAACTTCGACGCACGATTTCTCGGTTTTTAATTTTTTCGATTCTTCCTAATTGGCGGGAAAGATAGAGAAAAAACTAAGCGTCCTATCGACACGAGACAAAATTCATTGTATTCAGGATTAAATTCTATTCTAGTTGAATCTAAACAAACTTAAATAATTATAATTAAGTCACTTTATAAACAATCTAAATTGAAATTTTGTATCAAAAAACATGATATTTTTTCAAGCTGCGAAAAATTGGTGAATTTCTCAATTTTTTCTGGATTTTTTAGGCTCAACTAAGATCTATACTATTGAAAATATATATTTGTTTTGATTTTTTTTTATTTTGGATGGAAATTGTGACCTGCATATTCCCCGCCAAAAGACACCTGCACGCTCGTGGCGCATCGGCAAAATGCTTGTACCCGGCTTATCATGACATATATTTTAATGAAAAAATTTGAGAAGAATATTGAAATATATAACAATCAAACCTGAAGGTTTCGTTTCAATTAAATATTTATTTCCTTCTCTAAAAATTTCTCGAAAAAAGCGATTTTTTGAAGCCCCACCAAATTGATGCAAATTGGTGGAACTTGCCGTACCCTTATTAAACACTCGAGGAGTAAAAATAATCAATAAAAATTGATCAATGATTAAGGGGGTTGTTCGGTTTTTATTTATCTTTTTTCGATTTGGAAATTTTTTGATATTATGAAAGCTAAAAACCTTAGAATAATTTTTAAAAAAAATTATCTCAATATCTATTTTTTTGACGAAGTTATAGATATATATATATCTATATGTATGAAACCGTTTTTTTCATCGCTCCGCGAGCTATTGTATGCCACCTGCTCTCTTTTTTATTATAATACCTCATGCACATGACCTTTATAATGATGACATCTTTGAACACCATGGTGTATTTAGTACATTAAATTAAATGGTGTATTTCGTTCATTATATTAAAAACTTTTAATACGTTTTTCTCAAAATGACCTTTTTCAATGCGGTGCCACAAATTTAAAAAAAACTACAAGTCGGATCGACTTGCATTTTTTTTAATTTGTTCGCCACTGCAATACCTAGTCCCCCCTACCTCAAACAACTTGATAACATAACGCAAAAAAAAAAATTTGCGAAGCTTTTCGCCCCAATAACAAGGCCTTTTTTAACACTTTTTTTTAAAATGCGCAACGGATTTATCTGTGGCACCGCAAAAGAGATCGATTTTGCAAGACCGACTTTGGCGCCCCCTGGTTAAAAAATGACGGCAAAAAAAGAAGATAATTTCGTAATATTCTATGATTTTGTGATTTTTGTTTTAAAAAAACGCATGTCTCTATGATAAATACATTTCTAGAAAAACAAAAACAAATACCTTGCATTTTTTGTAAAAAAAACGAACCCCCTTAATTGAAATATACTTTAAATAGATTATTATGAATACAGCAAATTTTATCATTTATATTTTATAGATCTAAACAGTTCTTATGTATGTTTGCAAGAATGTTGCAACTTCTAGAAAAGATAAAATTAATAGCGAGTCGGATTATATGGAGAAAACATACACATTTCATATTATATATATATATACAATCCACTAAATAAAATAGTGCTACACCATTCTCTATATAGAAATTTATCCGGGCCCGTTTTTGTTTCTCAGGGTCGGTCGAAATATTTTTTCCGGGCCGGAATCAGACGGGTTTTTCGAACTCGCCTATCGTCCGAACTTTAGACCTACACTAGATTTATATCAGGAATTCCTATAAAACTCAGTACATATTCGGTATCTAACAGTTGATTGTATTTGCTTTGCATTGCATTGCAATACGTATAAGTAAAAGTGCGGATTTACCTATGGGCAAATATACGTGAAGAATTACCAATTACCAGTAGTTCTCAGTAGTGTCGTGCTTTACTAAGTTCCGGAAGAAGAAGTTTATATTATATATTTTTGTTACAAACTATACATAACAAATATAAAAACATATTTGTTGAGAAAAGAGGTTCTACATCCACATTCACAATCGACACATGACAGAGCTTAATGTTTTGTTTCCCAGATAAAGGAACTTGCAACAGCGATAGCACGGATTTTGATATTATAAAATTATTTTTGTGAGCGTTTATCACTTCTTTTCAGGATGTACATTGATAGCATTATATGCTTTTATCAGGGGTTCGAAAATAGCCATACGGCTACTGTGAAAACACGTTGATTAGCAGATGGGTACGATAACGCACCTAATGTCAAGTAATATGTAAACAGTTTTTTTAAACAGCAATCAGAATTAGTATCAGCGGTTGTGATAAACCTTCTCCTTACCAACGGTTGACTCATTTTCATCTGAAACATTTTTGTAATCGGGATTTCTCTAATACTATCATTTATGATCATTTATTATCTCCCCGAATAAGATTATGCCCTCGACAGAAAATCCCACATGCTAATTTTTTGTTTTCTCGACATTTCAAGTAATTCTGAATCCGTTGAGACCAAAAAGTTGAGAGAAATGTGTGTGAACGTGTTTTTGTGTGACCTTTCGTCGATGTTTTCTCAAAATCAGCTGCACCTATTTCAAAAATTTAAAAGAAAGTTTTAAATTTTCGCGACGATCGGCCGAGCTATTTATTTAGAATTAGTGAAAATGGGTTGAAACTTTAGCTTTTTGGCAGTTTGTCAGTGATTTAAGAAACTAGAAAAATTCGCCCCTTATAGCAAGAAATGATGACAAGATTTCACACTTATCAGGGAATTTATGCAACTCGCCTTAAGGCAAAATACCACATCTAGTTTCAAAGGACAAATTTGCGTTTTCGCCCAAAAATGCGAGTTGCTAATTTAATGCTTCCTTTACGTTTCAAGTCACACTAAATCGTTTAACACCAAATCGTAAAGTAAAAAGTATGTATATGTGGGCAAAATGTCAACTATATAATTCTTAATTCACATTGTATATATTTTACTTCATATGCAAAAAAATCAAAATGATTTTAGCACATTAATAGCAAACTAGAATGTGTATATAAACAGTACTTCCGTCTGTTTTCGGGAGAACAGATAAAACGATTTGAATGGCATGATAAACATGTATAGTGTGATGATGAACCTCTGGTAAGGGAAAGTTCAGCTGTTTCGGATATATGGAATAAGAAGTGTGAAAATTTACACATTTACAAATACTATAAGTTTGCTTGGCATTGGAATATTAACCCTTCTTTCCATGATATTTTCTATTTTAATAAAATAAATCAGGGGTAATAAAATAATTAATGATCTAGATTAAATATTTAAAAAAATCCTAATGTAAATAGAAGTATGTATTATGTAAAAAACAATATGATGGAAATTTACAGCATCATGCATTGCCACATATTTAGCTCAAAACTAAATAAATAAAAAATATTGTTTACTCAATCTTCTTTATTCTTCATAATAATTTTAAAAAACTATTAATATTTTTATTTAAGCACGAATTGACCCCACATTTACTGGCCCATTGTTTCAGCAGAATATTTTCACGTTCGCCTCTTTCTTTCTTTTTTTTATATTTTAACAGCAATCAGAACCTTATGTCCTATGAGCTGTTGGGCTGAAACTTCTCTTTTCTTCGTATTTTTTAGATGGTAACCCGATGGTTAATCCATCCATATTTGATGATTTTTTGTTATTAGATTTAATCTAATAGGGCTGACTTTTTATTAGTGCAGCAATGCCGGGCAAGGGCTATTTTCACTTGGAAATATATTGCTATCTATATTTTTAAGTGAAAATCGTTGTCACTGCTGCCTGACAACAGGCTGCTCGAAGTGGGTATCGAACCAGGGACCTCTGATTCAGGTCCCGTCGCTCTTAACCGCTTACCTACGGGCGAGCCCAACCTCTTCCTTGAGCATTTTTTTATAAACACTCCAAGAGATTAAATAGCTAGATAAAATAGATGACAAAAACGCAAATACCACTTTTTAGACCTCATTGTTATATGATTTCTGCCCAAAAAAATATACATGAGATCTACTCCTCTCATATGTATATCGTACGAACTTTGGCGACCAATATGATCTTATGCTAGGAATTTTGATTACTGACATGTACAATAATATACCAAAGAACTTATACAAATCATAATCTGTAAATGTTATAGATGTACTGGGAATTTTCTGTTTTAATTGTTATTTAAAAATTTGTCTCCTCCACTAATGTTTTGATAAAAACTTCAGTGATTAATGGTTAAAACATTGATATGGAGTTTCTAGGTGTGATAGACCACCTGAAGCAGTAGAACCCCCCAATAAAGTAATTTTATGTATGAATAATTATGGTGTATGACAGCACCAGATTCCTTTTTTTTCAAATCAAGCTTCTTTTGTCAAATTGAAACCTGGATGAAGATTGCAAATTGGATGATGTTAATGGGTGAAAAGGTTCTCGATATACAATGTCAGCAGTTTCGTCCACATTAATATAATCCACCAATTATCATCATCATCGTCGTTATCATCCTGCAGCATTCTTATAACTTCATCAGAATCGGGGTTTTCATCATCGGAATCTTGGTCAACGAGGTCATTTTCCGAGAGCCAACCGCCTTGTAATTTACTAAGATCTTCAATATCTCTTTTATTCAAAAAAAAAAAAAACATTTACAAAAAAATGTTGGCCATTCATTACAAGTGAAACTACTGCATAGTGATGTAAATTTCCACCACATAGTTTTGAGAACTTTATTCACAGTGTTTTGATATAAATTGTACATAAAACAACAAAAACATGAAAACTAACCT